CCCCCAGCCCCTCTTGCACACAGCTATCAGACTGACCTTTCCACAGCACATCCATTGTTAGGATGTTCACTCTGGAGACAACACGACACCCCCATCCCAGAGAAATAGTTTTATGCAGATCTTGAAGATCACTTGGGGGAAGGTGAGACGTTTCTCATAGGTTTAGTAATCCAGAAACTTTATGGGAGTGAAGTTATTCAGACTCCAAACGCTTACCTTGGATACACAAAGTTGTTGAAGCCTGTCAGGGTGAAATGGATGGTCCCGACCAGGTGCCAGTGGTGAGGAGAGACAACCCAGAGTCCCTGAGAAACAGCCCCCTTGGCCCAGCAGTTTGTGCAGTAGAATCCCTTTTGGCTAATGGTAGAGCCCTCCGACCTCCAGGCTCCCCTCCAGAGAAGGAGTTTCAACGTATGCCCAAAAGGCATGACGAATCCATTTCTCATCACTTGTGGTCCTCTAAGTGACACTGCAGAGGCTCATAGTTAATAAAAATTCTGTTCTTGCACTAGATGATGTCATATTTTTCCTCAGCCACTTTTGCCTTTGGGGCCACTTTTTGGACCTTTGCTGGAGAAACACAAAAGATGTGTGCATCTCCTTTTCTCTGTGAAGAAAGCCTTCCGATAACACCAGTCAAAACATGCAGTGCTGGACATATGTATTAAGGATGTACAGTGAGTAGAAAATCAGCCATCCTGCCATATGACCAAAAAAAAAAAAAAAAATGGCAATCTCCGATAGAGATATTTGAAATTACAAAGGATTAAGATGCTTCAGAGCAAACAAAAGAAACTTCAGGGCAGGGGGAATGATACTATAAATGTGAATATTTTTCTCCAGTAATAAGCCTATCATTTGTAGAGTGCTTTACTGTTTGCAAAACCCTCCTGCATATATTTTTCTCAGTTAATTCCCATAGCAATTGTGTGACATGTTGTGATTCTGCTTCACAGATATGAAAATTCACCCTCAGAGAAATTCATCAGAATGCCCCTAATCTCAGAATTTAATAAGTGACAGAGTCTTGACTTACATTTGTGTCTTAATTCGCCTAACTCAGTGCACTTTCCAGTTTACCATGTGCTCATTACGTAGGTGGTTGCATGTGGCATAGGAAGTAGGGTAACATTTTATTTTATCTGTCATTTTCTGTAAGTTATAAGTAACATACAGAGCATAAAATGGGTGTCATTTCCTACATAGTGATTACTTTTCAGGTTGTGTTTCAAGATCCTAATTAAGAGGTTTGTTTGTCCAGAAGAAGGTGAGGCCACTCCCTTTGTTAAAGTGTTTCATTTTGCTACACCTAACTGCACTGCAGGCTTTATGCTGCCTCTGCCCCATTATCGATGGATACTTAAATGCCAAGATCACTGCGAGGAACTTTCTCTGAGAATGTGCCATCTATCACATGTCACCACTTCTTTGCCTTCAGAGTGAAGATGTACTCTTCAGTAATGTATCAGGAACACAACTATTTGCCCTTTGTGATACGAGATATAGATAGATAGGTAGGTAGATAGATAGGTAGATAGATATAGATACACACACACACACACGTACGTATAATGATAATACTGAAGGCTGAAAAGTAAGGGTGTCTGATCGCAGACACCTCTTCATCGTTTCTGTTATGAGGGATGAAAGTAGTAGTCTGCATGGCTCAGAACTGAAATTCACTGACAAGCTGGCACTCATGTTAACCAACTTTTGACTAAGGGAAAATTTTAACTGACTTCTTTTTTTCTGACTGGTTTTATGGTCAAAAGACAAAAATGCAAACTGTTAACCCACTTCAAGCAGTAATGATTTAAAAATCATTAAGGTGCTTTATAGTTTACAAAGTCTTGTTGTGTTATTTTCTTTAGTAAGATAGAGTTACCCCCAATTTACAGATGTGAAAGACGAAGTCTGTTGACTTGGCCATGGTCATACAGCTGCTATCTGACTTGGACCCCAAATCTCTCATTCCAAACCTCTGCACTGATTCACAGATTCTGAGCTGACTGCGCGCACGCGCGCGCGCGCGCACACACACACACACACACACACACACACACACACACCTTTGTGACTTGCAGGAAATAGAAGTGAAAACCAAAAAACCCTTAAAAAGTGCGGCCATATAATGTACTTATTCTTGTCGCTCCTGATAATATTATAGAACCACATTTCTACGTGTGTTTTCATGTACTGTGTTCTCGCGTTTTACTTACACTCCAGTGCTTAACGATTGCATTTTCAAGCATATGAATAGAAAATGCCCAGCTGCCCCACCAGACCAGGTTGACATAATATGAGCTTTTTGTTTACTCACTGAATAGGCACAACTCGTGCCCTGCCAGCTGCTTTGTCCACAGTCTTAACCTTGCTCTGTAAGAACTACCTGTATGAGTGGCTGGATGATGAATTCTATACTCTGGTTTGCCTTGGGATCTTCTGTTAAGATTGACTCAGATAATACCTCTGAGCGTGAACAATATACCACTTTCTGAAATAGGTTAAGACCACTGCAGCCAGGTGGACATGGACTTCAAAACACCACATTGAGAAGAAATACCATTTATGGGGAGCTTCTTGGATGAAGAAACTGTTGAGAAAGAGAAACGTTTAATGCTGCGCTCAGGATACCTGAGTACTGGGTCAGGGTGTATTAGTATTTGGAGTATTAGGACTGTGAAGAATTGCCCTGTCCTACTCATTTTAGAGAGCAAATTGCTCTAAGATCACGGTGTAGAAGCCAGATTACATCATTTTTACTGGAGGCGGGAGATGATTCATAAAGATACCTATCCAGAGAAATGGACTTTTTAACAGTGGAAACTGATACCAGGGTCACTTGAAGATCCAGCAGAAACTTTGGTAGTAACTTAAATAGCGAAAAAGACAAGCCTGTGACTCAATGCAGAGAAAGCCTTTTCTGTACATGTAACCTGATGGCTACACTGAACCTGAATGTCAGTCCTTTTCAGGACTTAGAAGCACTTGTAGTTTCAACGCATAAGCAACTAGCAATCATCAGTACGTCAACTAAAACTCGGAAATTCATATCATTTAAATAAAATCTTCATGCTTTAATCAGTGCAGTCATTAAGGAGAGTTTACATATGTGCTTTACTCTTAGTCAAACAAAAACAAGCACCTCCTCATGCCCCGATGACATTATACCTTATTTGAACACGGGCCGAGCATGTTGTTGCTGGAATAAGGGGAAGAGATGGTGTTGAGTTCGTCTAAACCTTTCCAGTTCCATTTGTAGACAGAACCTTGAGATATTTGGAAGCTGCATTTCTGCTGCCTGCAATGATAGTTGTTCTACTGGAAATTTAATTGTGAGTGGGCTGTGACACCGGACTTGTTTGCTCCAAGTGACCTTATCTCAGTATCAAAACTTGGCCCAGAGGGCTTCCCTGATGGCGCAGTGGTTGAGAGTCCACCTGCCGATGCAGGGGACGCGGGTTCGTGCCCCGGTCCGGGAAGATCCCACATGCTGTGGAGCAGCTGGGCCTGTGAGCCATGGCCACTGAGCCTGCGCGTCTGGAGCCTGTGCTCCGCAAATGGGAGAGGCCACAACAGTGAGAGGCCCGCGTACCGCAAAAAAAAAAAAGAAAAAAAAAAAGAAACAAACTATCCGGAGCCTGTGCTCCGCAAAGGGGAGAGGCCACAACAGTGAGAGGCCCGCGTACCGCAAAAAAAAAAAAGAAAAAAAAAAAGAAACAAACTTGGCCCAGGGCCTTGAGGGCATCCCTCCCCATTCAGTCAGGAGAAGCAGGAGCCAGGGCATGAGTGGAGTGAAATGTGTGACCAAAAGTGAGGAGCTGCTTTCCACTGAGATTAGCTCCCTACCACAGAGAACTCTATTTCTAAACTGTTTAAATTTGGTCTGCAGGGGATTATTTTGTGATCCTTGTGTGCTTCCTGCGTCTGTTTAGTCTTAAGTGCTTCCTAAAACATTTTTCAAAATCCACTCGTGATTTTCTAATCCTTCCTAATACATGCGCTGCTTAAAATGCAACTCTTCTTTCTTTAATCCTAGCTTTGAAAATGCAAACAAATGTGTGAGCCTTGAGAACAGACTGGAAAAAAATGAATGAGGGCTGTTGGATGCATAGCTGAATGTTGATGGTTCTGTTGTTCATGCACCTTACAGAAAATTTCAATTTGTGTCTGCCTGGTCACTTCAATATGAAAAGTTAAGGCATTGTCATTACAGCCATTGTTTATGTTGGATTAGGGTAAAATAAATGTATTGCACTCCCTCTGCTGGCTCTGAAGCTGCAACAGCTTATTAACTAGACCTATTTTTAGATGTATTTCCCCATTTTTTAAAAAAAATGGTGTGTAGAAAAAGCAAGCAAAAACTGGGAAAGCTGTTAATTTTATTATTCATTTAAAATGTCAAGAAAAACAAACATCTGCTCAATGCCTTTGGTTCGGATGAGCAAGAAAGCCTGCAGGTTTAGGCTTTTCAGCACAATAGTAAGAAAAGGGGGGGGCACCTCCCTTCTCCCTGAGGCATGCCTCTGACAGCCTTGTAAAAATTACTTCGTCCCTTTCAAATACTGAAATAATCTTTTCCCAGAGCTAGTCAATAAGCATGTTTTGTATGTTCAAAACAGTCCAGGAAAGTAACAGCAGTTGTTTGTCTTGGGGTGGGAAGGAGGAGAGAAGGTGTCTTTCTCCTGGTGTCAGAAAGGGAAGCTAAAAGATCACGCTGAAACGTTATACCCCAGGGGAGGCCACTTCCTTGCCGGAAAGCATGTTATCCACAAGGCTGGAAGAGAATCACGGCACTGTGGAATTTTACAGCAATGGTTCTACTCATGAGTGAGAAGAGGCTACCAGGAGAGCAGAATGCTCCAGATGTCAGGGGGTCCTGAGGGCCCCGAGCCCTGTCTCACTCTTGTTAATCAGCATATTGAGGTTTTCCTGCAAAGGCGCATCTTGTGCCTGGGCTTCGCTCTCTTCTTCTGCTCTTGCTTTGCTCTCTTCCCCAGGCGTCTGGATGCCAACCACATCAGCTCCGTGCCCCCCAGCTGTTTCAGTGGCCTGTATTCTCTGAGGCACCTGTGGCTGGATGACAACGCTCTGACAGAAATCCCTGTCCAGGCTTTCAGAAGTTTATCAGCACTGCAGGCCATGACCTTGGCCCTGAACAAAATACACCACATACCAGACTACGCCTTTAGAAACCTCTCCAGCTTGGTGGTTCTGTAAGTTTTATTGATTTTTTTCCTCTCTCTTTTAACAGTTTCTAAATTCACTGTAACACCTTGTAATTCACTGTGAGACCTTGACCTTAAACAGATAGCCCTTCAGACTTTGAATAGGGACATTTTAAGGGAGGGAACCCCCCCCCAAATGACTCATAAATGTTCTAATTGTGTAAAAGAATTAAACAGCATTTATCGAGCACCTGCCAAGGGCCAAGCACTGCTAGGCATTCAAAGATAACAAAATATGACCTCTGTCTTAGGGAAGCCATTGTGTATTGTACAGGTAATCACCACACTGTATGGTTAGTCCTGTGACCGAAGTTAATAAAAAAAACTCTTATTTCTGATAATAATTTATAATGCAGGTCAAATTGAAATATGCCCTTCTTATTATTTAATAAGAACTTCTTGACCCCCTTCCAAGGGAACAGAAGCAAGGAATGAACCCTTGACAGCGAGCTATGCATTTGTATGGCTTTTTTCCTTTGAGGTCCAGATTTCACTATTTCAAGTAAATCAAAAAGATTCTCAAGTAATAGTTTGAAAAATAATCAGTTCAAGAGTGTAGAAGGATGCCCCACGTGTATAACATAATAGTCAATCAATCCTGATATAGGACAACAGTAGCTGCTTGACAGCCTCTAAGAGCAGTTTGCATGGTGACTTCGTGGAAGGCGTCTTCTGCACTATTTCTCTCTTTGCTCCATGCCCCCCACCAGCCCATCGCTGTCTTCAATCACTCCACTTTTCCTGATGACACGTCAATCTCTTGCACTGCAGTATATACTCCTTTGAGGGCTGGCCAGCATCTCATCCATCTTTTTAGGCTCCCCTCAACCCTCTTTCCTCATGTGTTGCATGTAAAAGATCCTCAATAAATGTCACAAAGATGTCACATGAAACCAACATATATTTATTAGAATGAAAACCTTAGTCTGAAAGGATAGGACATGTGGGGTGATTGTAACAAATTTTTCTATACTGAATTTCACATACAAAAGTGATGCTTCTATCCCACCAGAAGCTGGGGAGGTGCTTTAATTTTTCCCTCCACTAGAGGGAATGGATTTACAGAGATCCAGCTATTCTATTTCCCCCTGTCCTTAAGCCCATTTTCCAAAAACCCCTTTGGGACTTGGTCGGGTTTTCAGTTATGCACACAGCTGTTCTCACTGACCCTGACCTAACCAATTTAACCATTGAGCCAAAGATGATAATTAGAGCCATTTATACTATGTCAAGATAACTACTCTCCTTGGGCAGCCAAAACATCTGATCCCCATTCTCTGTGGCTGAGATTGTTGTTTCCTCTTAACCTGTAGCCCCACCCTGGGAATGTAGCCATGATAAGCCACCAGCTTTAATAGAAAATGTGCTTAGTACACCTAGGACCTTCCTTCCATCCTCCATTTGTCAGTGTTGGTCAGAATCTCTATTTAGTATCCTACATCCCAAAGCCATACTGAACAACCCGAATTTACTTTTATCAGTCTCGTTGCTCACTCCGTGATTATTATACACTCCATGCTATCTCAAACCCAAAAGGTAAAACTGTGACTGCCTATTAAATTCTGGAGTATAGAATCATCTGTGGTAAGGGTGAACGGGGCGGATAGCCTTTAAAACAAACAAACAAAAACGTTAAACAAAGCATTTCTTATATATAATCAGTGCATTCTTTAGCATAAGTTTCTTTGGATTTCAGCAATCAAAATGTTGTGCCTAAGTTTCCATGTGCAGTGTGCCTTCATGACCGTCAGTAATGTTCTCCTGCAGGCATCTCCATAACAATAGAATCCACTCCCTGGGAAAGAAATGCTTTGATGGGCTCCATAGCCTGGAGACTCTGTGAGTTGACCTTTTATTTGTTTCCCTTTTTTCAGTGTTTTCATGACTATTCTGAAGGAATCAAAATAGCCTTAAAGTCAGACTTGCTATTTGGTTTGGTTAATTGCCTGAGCTTTAAACAGATATTTACAGTGGCTTCATCTTACCCCCCCACACACACCCTACAGAGCTGAACAATAAAACTGAGATTTTATTTTAATCTATCAAGAGTGATAAATTAGTTAGAATCATTATAAGCTAAATGAGATGTCCTCTACTGAGCAGTGACTGTTTGCTTAGGAATGTGTACTCTGTCAAGGGTGAGTTCCATATTGTCACTCAGGCTCACCATTCATGAGTCTTGTCCAACCCCCACCCCCCACCCCACCCCCGCCCATGAGAGGATGCAGAGTAGCAAATGCCAAACTCTGTCCAATCCAAAAGGAACAGGCATCTCATTAGCAAATGGTGAAGCTT